TTTTCTTTTAACCAATAAAGGAAAGAGTGAAAAGAACAGGAAAGACATTTTGAGAATTTTCTTGAGTTCGAGGGGTAGGTTATGAAAAGGGAAGGTGTTAGCACCATTTTCATCTGTAGTTATCTACAGGCTCTTAGTTGCTAGCTCACTTTAAAATTCTTTGTTTGAAATATGTTTATGATTGGTTTTGAAAGTATTTTTGAAAAGTAACTTCGTTTAAGAGAACTTTGTAATGATTCTCGTATCTATAAGAATGCATACAAAGTGTTGACTTTTGAAAATATTTTCTTTGAAAATGTGTTGGTGTATTTGAAAAGATGTTTGTTTTGAAGATGATTGTGAGCAAGCAACTATGAATGTTCTACCTACTCAAAAAGTCTTAGTTCTTTTCCTCTTCCTTTAGATATTGGTACCTTGCCATTAATTGATAAGAAGCCCTATCATTGAATGTGAAGGGACAGGCGTGGGTCATCGTATAGTCATAGAAAGCAACATTGTAGGATACCTTACCAATTTTTGTAAGGGTCTAAGATCGTTTACCGAAAGCAACATTGAAAGGTCATTGAAAGGTCATCGAGGGACTACAATCTTGTATTCTAGGGTCATTGCTAAAGTATCTCACGTTCGAGGGACATGACTATTTTATCTTTAGGTAACAAGTGAGGTTAGCCCTAGAGGTGCAAGTGTGCAAAGTGTTTGTTTTCATGCTTGTTTGTCTTGAAGTAGGATTTTCTACTTGTTGATTTTATGTCTTGCCATACAAACCCTAATTACTAGCATTGATATTGAAAGCGATAAATTACATAAATGTAAAATTCTATGCTATTACATTATTTGGGGATGGGGGTACAAATTTACAAATGGGGAGAAAAAGAAATTAAATCCTAGGTTACTATTACAACCATATTGAATGAATAAATAATGTACAAGAATAATAAAGACAATGTGAAACGGAAATGTTTTTGTTTGAGTATTGGTGTAAAAAGATTTAATATTAACCTAATTAAACTAATAAAAGAAAGAAAATAATTTTCTAGTCTAGGTTGATTTAACGAGAACTAAACCTAAATTAAATAGAAAAGAAAAAAATAAATTAAGTAAGAAGACATTTGTAGGGTTTTTATGAAAATGTTTTAGTTTTATTAAACTAGTATAGAAAAATTAATTAATTAAAAATTCTAGGTTCTAAATTAATTTTAATTAAAAGAGAAAATAAAATAAACCTAATTCTAATATTTATTTAAATTTAAGAAAAGGAATTGGATTTGTTAAGAGAAATATTTTTGGTCTTTTTGTCTTGATAAAATGAAAATATATTATAATAAATCAAAATATTTTTGAGATATTGTTAATAAAAATAATAATAATAATAATATAAAAGGAATAAGAAAAATAAAATAAAAATATAAAAATTTAAGTCAGGGTGTGTAAAAATGATTTAGGGTGTATGTGAAGTAAAACATATTTTAGTTTGATGTTAGGGCCCAATATGGTTGTTTTTTTTGTGTAATTAGGAAAAAAAAGAAAAATAAAAATAAATGGATTGCGTTGTTGCTAGCAGACAAGGGGGGTTAGTGAAGTAAAATGAACCAAGGTCCAACTGAAGGGAGCCCATGCGCTACCTGTTCAAACAAAAAAAAGAAGGAAAAAACATGAAAAACACAAAAGGTTTCGCTGAGGCTCGAACCCAGGACCTTCGATAGTAAAGCCTTTACGCGTGCTGTCACTGGGGTGGCCTGTTTCATCCGTTAGTAATACAACAACTATTAAACTTAAAATAAAACAAGTCTTATGGCCAACTTCATCTTCAACCTCGCGCCATAACTAGTCATAAATTTAAACCATGTAACTTCTTCATCTCTCAACCATTTGCAAAAATGTAAACATCAAACTTGTTCCAAATTTCATCATGACTCTAGAAATATAAATAACTTAAATTATAAATCAAAGATAAACGATAATTTCTAATGTTACCGAATTCATACCTAATTTTTTCAGGAAGTTCAACTTCAAAATTCACATCACTCAGGCAATATAAATGAAATCTAAAGACATGGTCAGCTTCGGGGCAATGATGTCTACATTTTATCTTTGAAAATGGAAAGTTAACAATGCCTATATGAAGAGATTAAAAGTCAAAAAATTACCTCAAAACTGGAAATCGTGTTTTGCAAATGAGCTTGATTCAAGTTGCTGTAATGATCAAGTTAACTTCCTTGAGTCCCTAGGAAGCTAATGCAGTGCTTAGCTCGAGCTAAGTGTAACTGAAATGGCCTGAAAAAGTCAAAATGCAGACCTATGTTTTTGAAAATGAAAGATGATAATGGAGGTGTTACAGAACTGTAACATGGATTGGGATAACTTCTATATGAAGTAAGGAAGCTTTGTGAATGGTTTGGCCAAGAAACACACAAGTAGATTTTGAGTTGGATGTTTAAAGTCAAAAGTGACACAAAAATGGAGGTTTTGTGCAATTTCTGGCTTGAGGGAGTTTGAGGGGTTTTGAGGGCTTGTAATCTCGTGTCCTAAGTTGCACAAGAGTATCTTGATATATAGAAAAAGATTTGGAGACTTGAGGTGGTCAGAATCACAAGATCACAAGTTATGGTATTTTTACTTGTTTTTGAAGCAAGCTTGACAAGTATAGTTTCAAGGCAAGGTACAATGCTATCTAGAGTGGTTACCAACTTTAAACATGCTTCTCTGACTTTGTAGAGGAAGCTTGTGCAGAAGAAATAAGTTCACAACTCAATACAAGTTAACTTTGCATAAAGCTTTCTTTATGAGAGTAGAATGATACCTTTCTTCCAAATATGGCAAGTTGCTTTGGATAATGACTTAATCACTTGAATCATACCTTAATCAATTGTGTAAACAATTAATTATGGGGTGATTTACAAGTTATAAGCCTACATGAACAAGATTATGCAGCATAGGCTTGAGATTTGAATCCCTGTTCATCACAAAAATGGCCTATAATTCAAGTTTGAAACCCTAACTTCATCTCTTTGATTCTCTTAGCTCAAAAATGATCTCATTGAGTTCTTAGACTTTTTGGAAAACTTGTAAATCCTCTACAACCTTCATGTTTTCCATTTTTGAAGAATTCAATTGGAACTATATGAAAAGTTGTCATGAAGTTAGTACCAAAAATTTGCCTAACTAGGTCAAATTTTCACTAAGTGTTTTAAGAAAAAGTTTATGACTTTATGGCCTTATAACTCAAAATATATGCATTTTTTGGACATGAGCCCTCTAATACAAGTTTGTAAAATTCACCAAGATCTACAACTTTCATGTTGAAAGTTTTCCTTGAATCATCTTGCATCATGGTGAAAAATTGGCATGAAGTCATGAAGAAAAGCATGTATAAAACACTTGGAAAAATTTCCAAATCTTAGAAATTTTGACTTTTCAAAATGAATTTTGACTTTCTTGATTTCTTGATTTCTTGATGATCAAGTTTCCTGTTTTTGCATGTCTTGATGAAATATGATATTTGAAACTCAATTTTGATCAAAAAGTCAAAGTTTGACTTTCCAGTGTACAGTTGACTTTTTCATCAGTTGACCAAATTTCAACTATCAATCAATTGATTTTGAGGAATGAATTGAACCATGAAATTAGGTCAATATGATGCATTTGAATTCTTGATATCATGTTTCAAGCCAATAAGTCATGTATTAGGTCAAAAGTCAAGAATCAAACCTTCTCAATAAAAACCCTAATTTTGACCATTTTGTCCTTTTGGTTATTTGATCAATTTTCTTGGAGAGTTGTGATCTAAACTTGATCAATTGATACATATGAGTTCCAAATATTGATATGGGCCAAAAATCTTGAAGTTTGACTGTAAGTTGACCACAATTGACTTTTTACCAAATATAGTTGATTTTAGGCCATCTAATCAATTGACTGAGCAAATTTGAACTGCATGACTTGAAACTTGACACGAGCAATCTTGAAGGTCCATAATGATCCATGAAAGTCATATGAGGTATTAAAAGTCCAATTGTCCTTGTGAAAACTCAAATCCTAATTTGAGGTATCAGTGTTGAGGAGATGTTTGACCTAGTCAACCCTTGTGCAAACTTGAATTATTAAAGAATCTTGTGGAAAATATCTTAAGAAATGAGAGGGCAAATTTTAGAGTATAAACATAATATACATATAGAAAGACCAACTACAGAGTATACATATTAAGAGATATTTTCTTTAGACCTTATAAGTATTGTTGTGCAATGTATAATACAAATAAAATTGGGCTTTTGGAGAGTTAACCATAATCCAAATTTAAGCTAACCATGGTAAGAAGAATCTCACACACCCCCTAACCTAACCCAACCCATTCCCTTTTCTCATTACAATAACGAAATATCTCCAATTCCTCATTACTATAAATAAACCATATTCATTCATTCATTACTTTCTCTCGTCGTTCCTCTCTCTCTTTCTCACCCACCCATTCCCAAATCGGACTCTTCGGTTCTAGAGAGAGAAACGCGACCTCACAAACCGCGTATTTCACTTCCATTCCTCGCTCATCAACCGGTATAAACCAGATTCGATCCGATTTTGTTTTCTCTCGTTTTACTGATTTATATACGAATTTCGTTTTCCATTGTTAATTTCATGCATTGATTGCTTTTACTGCTTCGTAATCGACTGTTAGGGTTTTGTTTTTGCTACTGTACAAGGTGATAGTTTGATTTGATATAGTGGTTTGATTTTTTGGATTAGGGCTGTGTTGCGTTGCATGTGGTGATTGTTACTTGTGCTAGATTTAGGTTTTCTGAGTGCGATTTTTTTAAATGTTTTTAGAATAGCTCATATGGTATTGGTATGCTAGTGTTCCTTCTTGGTGACATGTAAAATTGTGAATCAGTAGTTCATAGTTAGGTTTTTAAATTTTTTTTTTTGAGGTGGGTTATTTTATTATTGATTTGTTGTATTTTGTTGTTTTGCGGTGGTCTTAGGATTGTGTTTTTGGTTCCCTTGTCATGGCTGCTACAGCAACTGCCGGTCCTAGGTATGCTCCAGCTGATCCTACCCTTCCTAAACCATGGAAGGGCCTTGTGGATGGCAAGACAGGATATCTTTACTTTTGGAATCCTGAGACAAATGTCACCCAGTACGAGAGGCCAGCTGCCCCACCTAAGCCATCTTCAGTGCCTAGCTCTTCTGTCCAGGTTCAACAATCGTCTCAAGGGCGTTGTCGTAGTCCTGATTTCAGTGATAGGTATGATAGGAATGGAAATGGCGGGTCAGATGAAAGTGGATCCCGGAGCTATCAGGTTTGTGTTCGACTCTTGTGTTATGACAACTGACAATAGCACGTAAGACACATGGAAATCTTTTTGATATGCAACACTAGAAATATTCTACAAACTGGTTATGGTTTGGTTTTTGTAAATTTCAATTAATGATTGTGTTATCCTTATCAACAATGAAGAAAATAGATAAGTTTTACCTCCATTAAGATTTGAGAACTAAAAAGTTAAGCGCATGAAATATCAACCAACTTAAATGTTTCATTTCCCCCAAATAGATTTTAGAGAAATTTGGGCCTATACAAATATGTATAGAATGGAATATGAATGCAATATCATGCTTGAAGAAAACTGGCCTTTGGTTTTTTGGTGTATTAGGGTATTTTCGAAATCCATAAAAATGTGAAATTAAAAAAGTAGGTGGGACATAGAGACAGAGGTATGCAGGGTTATATGTGGTGTAAAAAATTTGATGTTTAAATAACATCTCTTAAAAATCTGATTTACGTTTCTCTCATTTTTATATTGTTTTTAATAAGTCAGCTATAGTTATCTCGGTTCTAGTTTTTCCCTGGGACTTACTTATTTGTTTTTCATTTTGTAGAGTTCCAAGGTTGGCACTTTTAGTTCTCATAATAATGTAGAAAATGGAACACATGTTGCTGAAAGTGTTAGTTCTATCAAAGGTCACGTAGCATCTGATACAGGACCTGCATTAACTCCAGAGGCTTATAGACGTCGTCATGAGATCACTGTTACTGTGAGTACATACATATATATTTGCATATGGTATTAATGTTAGTTAATTCCATATTTTAAGAAGATATTATAACTGCATTTGGCCTGTGCTCCTATCACATGACTTAATTAAGTTTTTGTTTGTATTTTTCTAGGGAGATAATGTGCCTCCACCTGTTACATCATTTGCGTCTTCTGGCTTTCCATCTGAGATTCTTAGAGAGGTATCAACTTATATTATCTTTTTGTCTTTCTCATCTATCTGCAGTAGTGGCAGTTAGGAGGTTACACAAGTTCTGTAGGTATCTGATCCAAATGTTTCTTGTTCAAAACTATGATTCCTGAAGCTATAATCTCTAAGTTTCGGGCTCATGATAATTTTTTCCATCCTTACTTTTTGGTCGTAGGTGCGATGTTTGCTCCTGGGGTGGAGCTAATGTCGTACGGTGTGGTGCCCTCTTTCGTGGGGCTAGCATTTAGTTTGGACTTTGGAGCGTCCTTTATGGTGGACCAAGTTGTTTGGAAGGGCTTTCCGAATCATCCAAGTTCATGGCTGGGTCTGCTGTTGGTCATGATTCAGTCTGCCACTTGGTCCGTACGGAAGAAGAGGCCTCCTTATGTACTAGCTTGCGTCAGCAAGCATTGGTGTCTTGCATATGGAGGATAATGCTTCTTCCGATATTAAACCTCAAATCTATAAGTCCCAAAGAAAACCAATCTCCTGGATTTTCCTTTTTTAGGTACAAAATGCTGGGTTCTCAGCCCCAACTCCAATTCAGGCTCAATCGTGGCCCATTGCCCTTCAAAGTAAAGATATAGTTGCCATTGCTAAAACAGGTTCAGGGAAAACCTTGGGGTATTTACTTCCAGCATTTATTCACCTCAAGCGCACAAATAATAATGCCAAAATGGGCCCCACAATATTGGTACTTTCACCCACAAGGGAGTTGGCAACACAAATTCAAGATGAAGCTGTGAAGTTTAGTAAAACATCAAGAATTGCTTGCACTGTAAGTGTTCTCTTTTTTTGTTTGTTTTACTTTCATGCATCAACATGGAGATCAAGGAAAAATTATTGCTGCACTTATAAATTTTATATTTTAAAGAACATATTGCTGGAACTTCATTATTTATTGGTTTTCATGTTGCAATAGGTCCGTCCCCACCTAGTGTGATAAGATTTAGTTGTAGTTTTTGTTGCATGTTGGATGTTGCAAAAGGTTCCTTGGGCTAAACTGACAATCGAAAAACTTTCTGCAACTTAGATTCCTTCCGAGCTTCATACTTATTACTTATTAGTTATTATTTTTTCACCAGTGTTTGTATGGAGGGGCACCAAAGGGTCCTCAATTGAGAGATATTGACCGTGGAGCAGATATTGTGGTTGCCACACCTGGTCGCTTGAATGATATTCTTGAGATGAGGAGAATCAGTCTTCATCAGGTCTCTTACCTAGTCCTAGATGAGGCCGACAGGATGCTGGACATGGGTTTTGAACCTCAAATTAGGAAGATTGTGAATGGGGTGCCCGCTCGCAGGCAAACTCTTATGTTCACGGCGACTTGGCCTAAAGAGGTTAGGAAAATTGCAGCTGACCTGCTTGTCAATCCTGTCCAGGTGAACATTGGCAACGTAGATGAGCTTGTTGCTAACAAGTCCATTACTCAGGTTTGATATTTACTACTGATATATTTTGGCGCATTGTCACCTTAACTTATATCATTGGCAGTCCCCTTCTTCCATTGATGCTATTTTTTCTTTAGTGCACTGTTAATTTGTGTTCTAATGATACTATAACAGCATATTGAAGTTTTGGCACATATGGAGAAACAGCGACGACTGGAAAGTATTTTGCGGTCACAGGATCAAGGATCAAAGATAATTATATTTTGTTCTACCAAGAAAATGTGTGACCAACTTGCTCGAAATCTCACACGCCAGTTTGGAGCTGCTGCTATACATGGGGATAAATCCCAGGCTGATAGGGATCATGTGTTGAATCAGTTTCGAAGTGGAAGGACTCCTGTACTTGTAGCGACAGATGTTGCTGCTCGTGGACTGGACGTCAAAGACATTAGGTTGTTAACCATTTCTGCAAATATTTATTTTATGCTAATATGTTGATGATAGTTAGTGTTCTGTACGCATTGAAATAGTATGTTGTCATGTTTCTGTTAAATGGCTGTAACTTTTATCTTGGTTAATTAACATATTTGAGAATGACGATAAATTCTTATCATATTTGGAAATGACGATAAATTCTTATCATATTTGGAAATGCCGATAAATTTTTTTGCAGAGTGGTTGTCAACTTCGACTTCCCTACAGGAGTGGAGGATTATGTTCATAGGATCGGAAGGACTGGGAGGGCTGGAGCCACCGGTATAGCTTACACTTTCTTTGGGGACCAGGATGCTAAACATGCTTCAGATCTCATCAAAATCTTAGAGGGTGCAAACCAGAAAGTTCCTCCAGAACTTCGTGAACTGTCATCCAGGGGTGGTGGCGGGTTTGGCAAATCCAGACGATATGGTTCTGGTGGTCGTGGCGATTCTGGATTCGGTGCGAAGAGTTATGACTCTGGGTATGGTGGAAGGGGTAATGATTCAGGATATGGTGGAAGGGGTAGTGATTCAAGTTATGGAGGAAGGGGTAGTGATTCAGGATATGGTGGAAGGGGTGGATATGGGTCTTCTGCTGCTTTTGGCAGAGGTGGAGGCCGTGGATTTGACTATGACTCACAGAGGTTAGCTTATATATTTGTTAGTTTTATTTTCCTTTCTTTACTGAAAGATAATGTTAAGTTTTTACATCTGTGAATTTGATTGTTGTAAAAGGATTTTTATGCATCTTTTTAAGTGATAGTCACCAAATATGTATTGTCCTGTGGCATAGGAATGAACGAGATCGAAGCCCTGACAGGGGATCTAGCTGGAGTGATCGCTTCAAAACTCGTGAACGCAGCCGCAGTCCCGTCAAGGCTGCACCATCTCAATATAATGCCCCCGTCAGCTTTCATCAAGCAATGATGGAACGCAATGGAGGAGGCAGTGATCGCAACAAGAACTATAATCGGGAGCGAAGCCGCAGTCATAGTCCTTATAGACAGGACAAGGGAAAAAGTTCACCATCTACCAACAGTAGTCCTCAGAAAGGGTGGGGAGGATCTTCAGGTGTGGGAAGAAACGGTGGTTCTCATCCTTACAATGGAGAATTGGAGGAAGGGATGATTCCTGATGAAGAAGGAATGATAGGTCATGATGAATCTTCTATATATCAAAGTGCAAATTAGAATTTTGGCTATTTATACTTTGACAATATGTTAAGGTAATTTTGGTCCACTATCAGTATTTTGGAAGACATTGGTACATGGACATTTGCAAGATATAGGATCTGGTAGTGGAATTTATGGCAAATGTATATTTTGAGAAGCTAAGTAAAATGCTGATAGGTGAAGAAGAACCTAGTAACAAGTATGTTTATGGTTGCCTGATAGGTGAAGAACCTAGTAACAAATATGTTGATGGTTTTATGTTTATTATTTTGGTAAAGGTTTAGTTTATATCTTCTACACACACAGCCAGACTAGAAATTATTTTAAGCCACTATGAATTGTTGCATCCATCGTTTTCTGATTAAGCTGCATCATAGTTTTTTGTTAAAGGAAGCAGCCAACAAATGTGACTTTCTTATATTTTGATTTCATTACAACATACAAGTGTTGTTTGTTTGTATTATGCGTGAATTGCTGTTGAACTTCTATTATTATAATACAAAATCAATTATTGTTTTGACTGGATGGATTAGAGAGGTCCAAGGGCACTTTTTTTGGTTAAATTAAGTATCATAATATGTGTTGGCGATGTTTGGTTGTCCAAATAAAACAAGTCTGATTTCAAGTCATAGTTTTGATTATCTTAAATAATATTGATTTGTGTTATGACAACTATAATTATATATTCATCCTCATTGATACAAATCTTAACATTATGTAAAGAATAAATAACATGATTTGTGTGTACCTTTTTGTTGACAGTAGACCGTCACGACCGTTTAGATATTTACCATATGTTAACTGTATATTAGGGCAAATTTCTCAATAAATTCAATAGAATAATTAAATCAAATTATCCATACTCCTAAACTTACTTATATTAAAATATATTCTTGAAATACTTTTAAGCTTACTGATTTGATCGATGCTTTTTAGTTAAAAAACACATCAATAGGTGTTGCGAGATAAAATACGTGCCCTAATGTTTATATAAATGTCTATATGTGATAAACACATTCGAATTAAAAAGCAAGATGACAAATTTACCCCCACATCTCCCCACATTTTTAAAGAAGTTGCAAAAGATTTCGAAAATACACATATCTGAATAGTAAAAAAAACTGTAATTTTAGGGGGGATAAGAGTGTTTTTTTAGATTAAATTAAGAGTCTTTTTTTAATAGATAAACGTGATTTTTTTTTTAATCTTCGACCCATTTTTAATAAGAATGAACTATAAAATTAATTTATGCAAAATAATTTTTTCTAACCGTATAATTATACACTAACACAATGATTTTAAAAACACGAATTCGTCACCATTTAGTTGATACCAAAATCAATTCTCAATCATACAAAATAAAATAATAATATAGTAATAATTAAAATTATTTTACACTATTGGTATATATCATATATTTTTTTAAAAGAAAATAATTAATATGTTATATAAAATTAATTTCAAAATTAAATATTACTTTTAAATTTGCATCTTATCTACTAATAACTTCTTATTTTATATAGCTAATTTTTGTTAATATGATTAATTTTACAAAAAATCAAAACAAAATACACCCAAAACTACTAAAAGTAAAATTCCTTTCAATTTTTTTTTCTAATGCGTTCTTAATTTTTCAAAACAATTAAAAAATATTTTCATTAAAAAAACAACTAATAGAATCTTAATTAGATAAACTTTGTTTTAAATTTTTGTTAAAATTGATTTTTAAGTTGAGCAAAATATTGTACACGAGTTTCCTTATAATAATTGACTTTACAAAAATTTTATATATAATTTTGAGATGGTTCCAGGTATTTTGTTCTCAATACTACAAAATGATGTAATTTCATTATATTGATAAAATAAGTATAAGAATTTTTAATCACAACCCTAATTAGATTAGTAAAATATTTTTTCCAACAATTAGATTTATTTATGTATTATAAAATTATAAACCCTATCATTACTAGTATGTAACAGTACCATGGAAGCATGAACAACAGTGATCCATTCATCTTCCTCAAATTCAATACAAATTGAAATCATCATCTGCTTCACTTTCTTGTATAATACGATACTCAAACCCTAGAAAGAATGGCGGGTATAGCTATACTTGCAGATCTATGGAGGAAGAATCACAACTCTGCTGCTTCACACGCTTTTCAATCTTCTTCCTCTTTTTCTGCTTCCGCTGCTGTTGCTTCCGCTGCTTCTTTTGCTGCAGGAACCACTTTTGCTTCAAGGAATTTCTTTGGGTATGCTTGTTTTTCACCCTCTTTAGGTTATTTGATGTTTCATGATTTGGGGAGGTTGGGTAAGTTTTTATCACTAGTGGATTGTTTGTTGAAATTCAGCTAGGTTAGGATGCTACAGTGGCAGTTTATTTGGAGTGTTTAATTATGATTGCTTGCTAGGTAAAGGTGAGAAGGGATTGAATTGAAGTAGAAATTATGGTCGAGATACGTTGTTGCTTAATTTTTGGGGTTGACCGCTCCGTTCCGCTATTTGGGATTGATAACTCTGGATTATAGTTGTGGGAGTAGTATGGTTTTCGTTGGTATAAGTGTAACTTCATGTTTGGATTTGTGGCGAGTTTGACATAATCACGGTGGCACTGTGTGTTTGATATTTTTGAACCTTCAATTGTGTGGTTGGAAACTGAGATTTTCGCGGTGGAAGTGTGTGGTATTTTTGATGTCTGACTTTGGAGTGGCTAATGGACTTGTCTTGGAGGTCAATCGAGTGATTCTAAACACACGCTAAGGTTTAGATATTTCTAAAATCATGGCGTCTTTTTGTGATTCTGCTAAACTTACTGTCGGTCCAAACATCAAAGTTTCACTTTAGGAGATTCTAGTTTTCTAGCTTTGGTAACTGAATAAGCATTTGAAAGATTGAATATATTATTGCTTAACAATTGGCACTTAAGAAAATTCTACTTTTTTAACTTTGCTATTTTCAAACTTCGATAACATGGAATTTCCCATTTTGCTTGGCTGACATACTTACATCAATGGTCGATGTGCATCTAATACATGAAGCTTACTATGTTGCATTGAGATTTATTTTCAGATTGGATAAACAATATTATTGGACAAGAATTTGTAATGTGTGGATGATTTTCTAGGAAAAAGGGTTGAATAAACCATGATTCTATGTGTATATAGAGAGAATAGCGACTTACGTTATCCTGTTGGTGATTTTTTGGTGATGAAAATAATCTAATATGACATTGCTGTCACTGGTTTTACTAAATTTTTTACTTCTCTAGAACCTTTAAATCTTCAAAGGGTTAGGTTTAAAATTATGTATTTCTGAAACATCCTAGGTGTAAAAGACAGGGTTTTAAAGTTGTTGCAGTTGCACTGAAGTGTAATTTATTATTGTATTTTAGGCATATATGCCCTACTTTGGTTTGACGTCCTGCGTACGTATGGCTCTTCAATTTCAGGTCACCAGTGGCATATTCTGATGCTGGCGCAACATTATCTGAAGATTTTATTTCTAATATACAAAGTGCTTCTGAAAGGATTTACAATTATGACGTTGAAAGATTCAGTACAAAGACGTACAATGTCCAACCTAAACCTCTATTCTCTGCCTTCGAATTGAGGTCACTCGGAATGACTTCAATACGGTCATTCCTGATGCACTATTTGCCTCTTTTGGAACCGCGTGCGGAAATAGAAGATGATGATGATGAGGACTTTCTGGAGGAACTTACAGGAGTACATCGAGAACGCCAGGTTGATCTAGTTGTTCCGTTCCAAAAGTCAGTGAAACAAATCATCCGCGAGGTGAGATTTTTTTCTTCTTATTCTTGTTTTAACTTTTAGTAATGCTTATCTTTTGCATTATTCACAATTTGTGAAATTGCCGTGTATGCCTTGTTTAATATCAGTAAAAATAGTTTTGAGCTGCTGCATGTAGCTTATATTGTGCAAAATCTCTTTTCTATGTAGATTATCTTTGTCATAGAGAAATAAACATATTAGTTGAGGTAGAAAGCTTTTGCTGTTGTTTTATGCTTTAGTTTTTGTCTCATATACTTGATGTAGGTTAACATTACTCAAGTCTCTACCTATCTGTATAGTGTGTACATCTGTCCAAATGGTTTTGCATAGAAGGTCTCGAGGAAGATATCATTTGAGAAAATAAATGAGTAAGAACTTTACAAAGAGTAATAGTTGAAATTTGCAAGTTCACTAGATATAGATTAACAAATTATTAGCGTGGGTGTCACATTTTGGTATAAAAGAAGTTCATTCAAATTGAGTCTAAAGGGTTTGGACTGTCCGTGTGTAGTTTGAAAACTGCCTCTCATGTCATGGAAATTATACACTGAGTGACCTATGGTAGGACTTCAGTTGCATGATTTCTCTAGGTTATACTAACTGTTGGTTTCTGTTGCACACTTTAGATGAATGTTATTGAGCAAGAAATAACTTGTCTTGTTTCATTACCTCTCCTTTATTTTGAATCTTGGTTTTGTAATTTGAATATATAGCTGAACTGTCAGTTAATTTTCTTGCAATGCAATGAGGGACTGTTGCTTGATGAAAACCCCCACAAAATTACGTTTACGGTTACTTGTTTTGAAGTTGTTGACGGCTTTTCTAAGTTTTCACGGTTTATTAATTTTGGGAAATATCACTTGTACTACGTGAAAGAATGAGTACCATGTGAGTTATCAAGGATGGTCTAATATGTATTCATGTAGTTGATGGAATACATTAAGATCAAAGGAAACTAGCTGAATCTGAATTAACATATATGGAAGAAACTGAAAAATGAAAATTGAAGCATTACAAGTGCTCTGCTCAGCTATTTATAGCAATTAACCATTAGAAATCACAGAATTATATATTTTCACATCATTAACATTTTCTAAGTGAATTCGACTTAGTTTTGGAGCTGTAATGTAAATTGAATCTATATGGACATTGTTGCAGCCATCAAATCTGAAATGGAACTGAGGACTGTTCTTCACCTTTAGTCCTTGCACAGTACAATTATAAATTATCACTACCTTATGAGGCTTACAGTGCCATCCTCTTCCATCTATTAAACCACTTCCTTCTAGTGACATTCCATTGATTCTGTAAAAAACCAGCTCCTGTCTCATACTGCTGTTCTTTAGTTAAGATTCTGCTCCATCAGGTGGCAATGGCATTACAGTGCCATCAACCTAATTGATCATGCCATAAAACTCCATCAGCTAATTAGCTAGTAAGAAATCTCTTGACGGGCATGTGCAGTTGGTCTAAACATCAGTCATTGGATCGAGCTGCAACTCAGTCCAATAGTTGAGGTTTTGCTGGATGGGCTGCATGGCCGTAGAGAATCCGTCACCAATGCAGTTTGGCTAGCTAACTTTCAGCTGCTGGATCGAGGTGCTGCCTAGACCCAACAGCTAAGACTTTGTTGGACAAACTGCATGGCCGCTGAAAAATCGTGTTAAGTAAGTATTGTATTTTTATTACCTCGAGTATTAAGTCACCTTGACAAGGACTGGTGAAGATAGTAGACTGAACGATGAAGGAGAAGCCTTGAGGAATAAGAATAACGTTAATTTGTGATTTATTTAGGCGGACTCCCATGCCATCTTAAAAGATTCTGTATCATCTTCTATACCATCTCCAATGGCACCAAATGATCTTACATAAAAAATTCCGAAGGCATTATTATTGTAGTAGGCATCATCATGAGAAGGAGATGGTTGGGCAGTGAAGTTTTATTTGATTTATGAGAATGTGAATGCCTATGTTTTCTATGTGAATGATATCTAGCTTTGAACTAAAACAAATAAAGTAAGGAAAAATATACAGAATGCTAGTGGTAAAATATGAGAATGCTTCATTCTCAAAAAAAAAAAATTGTAGCAAAAAACATACTAGTTTCTATTCTCAAAAACCTGAAAATCCAAGATACTTTAAGCACTAAAACACACAAGTTAGAACAAGTTTAGCTGAATTTGTCTTGGCATTTTCACCCTTTTCATAATATGTTTCTGTTTTAAAACTCAGTGAGTTAAATGTGTCTTGGATGTTATGACAGACAAGTGTTGTGACCACTAGAAGGATTTTAGAAAGAATTTCTGTTCATTATGTTTCGCTGCGAATGGCATCCAAGCTTCTCAAAGGTATGTTCTTCAAATTCTACTAACGATTTCATCTATATTTTAAAGATTATTGAATACACCCAAAGAGATTAACATTTAGCATACTAAAACTTTATGGTCGGGTGATGCTTTTTTATTTTTGGTTGTGTGCTATCAAGCGATCTTACAAGCACTCATTTGTTGCATTTTGTTTCCAATAGATGTTCCTAAATCAGCTTCTCGCAAGGCTGCAAGGAACTTGCCTACCCATGTTTACTTCTTCTCTGTGAGCAGAACAACATTCAGAGGTCAATAGATTTCCCTAAATCACCTATGTATTTTTTGAGATTACCATTTAACATCAACTATATTGTACCAACTAATATGTTTTATCATGTACAGGACACATGCTAGGAGTTACAGCATCTTGGGTTGTCCAAGTAGGCATTGACTTGTATCGATTCTTTAGATCCATTTTCAGGTCCAATGATGAAGTTAGCGACGTCGATACAACCGAGCAAGTTCAAATTCTTGGACAGAAGATTGCCCTTACTTCAATAAGGTGTAGTTCATCTTTAGTTTTTGCCTCCATAGGTGCAGGAATCGGTGCTACCCTTGTCCGTCCGTCACTTGGCCAATGGATTGGTAAGATTGTAAACAACACATGCAAAAAAATTATTACTTCAATCTTTGTGTTTGAATTGTGTTAAGTTGATTCCTAAGACAAAACATTGTTTTTTCCCCTTCTATTTTCAGGATGTGCTGCTGGTGATTTGGCTGGTCCAATCATTGTGGCATTTTGTGCCGACAAAGCATTTCAAGTGAACCTTTAGTTGTGGTTTTATGACTTAATTTTTACCAACCTCAAAATTTTGGTGTTTTTATATGCCATATCTCGTAATGAGCTCTTTTGAGCTGAAAGAATTGTAACATTCTTCCCTTGATAGTGTCTTTGTTATTGTTTCAGTTAGTATTCCTAATGATAGTCTCTTCAGCTGATAATGTCTTTCTTGGTGGTTTATTACACTGTGTAGTTCATATATTTGGGTTTTTTATGTTCCATTTTGGTCATTTTGAATATAAATCTTTAGTCGGGCCCGATTAAAAATATATAGATAAGATGATAGTGATTAAGCGGGTGTTTGGATATGTTTATGTAGAAATGAGTTGAATAGTAAATTTCGATGTGAAAATCACATTTAAATTCCGAAGTTACAAATTTTAACATCAGCTAGAATCAATTCTACTTAAAAAAAAAATCAAACACCTCAAAATCAATTCTATATTACTAGAATTACTTTTGGCTTTTAAAAAAAGCTAAACCAATCATACACTAAAATTATGACCACTCATGTTTTTTCACATGATAGGATCCCCTAAACTATAATAATACCAACTTTTTTAATTAGTTTATATGTATAATGTTTTGTTTCTTTTTCATTTGATAAATGATCAAAAACATGGAAAAATAAAATTTGAGACTTTGCATTGAGAAGCACATATAATATCTATACAAGAAAAAACCAATAAAAATTCCTCGCTAGCTTTTGATATCTTAGAACTGTACTGGTATTCTAAGTAATTAGTCACCAACATACTCCTATGAGTATTCTAAGTAATTATGCTGTATTTGTTTTTGGCTTAATCCTCTTTGCTCTTGAATACAAGAAAACACCAACAAGTGCAATAGCAGTTCCTGCAACCAAAATTAGGACCACAGAAAATAAAAATGAATAGCAGACACCAAAAATTTGTACACCACTTGAAAACAAGAGAGAAAGAGACATACCAAGTGCATTAATAGGTGAGACAGGAGTTTGGAAGAAGATGACAGAAGAGACTATGACAACCACACGCTTCACACAATTTCCAACTGAGTGTGTCACAGGGGACACTTTCTCTAATATCCCATATGAAACCTGTCACCAAATGCATGCATTATTTACCTTCAACACCAATTATTGATGTCATAATGCTTAATAAATAAAATGATTAAAAACATGTATGGTGTCTGATACATATGGTTATATTTTCTCAAATTATTACGGTTGTCAACATGTAAGTGACAGGGCCGTCTCTGGTATCTGTATCAGTCCTTCTCGCTATTTCCTTTATTCAAACACATGATGACAACTAAATATGACAAATATGCGTGTAAACAAATATTGAATTGTAATTTTCATGATAATTAAGTTATGGACCAAATCTCAGGAAATGTCATATGAACAAAAAAAAGACAAACTAAAAAATAGACTATAGAACACATGTTAATGACAACCTTAAAAATTATTTTTTTCTTTCAAAATATTGATATTGACTTGACCTTGATAGTTGCTTTTAAGAAGAAAATCACTTTATTCACACAATCAAAGTATAAAACAAAAAATTTGAAAAGCCTTACCTGCTGGTATGCATGGAAGCAGAATGCAGCCAAAACTGATCTTATGCATAACTCTCTAACATTCAATCCCTGGCTTGCCTATAAAGAAAGTAACATACTATATTTTAACGGTGTTTTTCTCTTCATCAATTACCGAAACTAAAAATATTTAACCCTATTTAAAATCGATTAAAAAAAGTGTAAAACTTGTTTACATACCGCAGATTTCAGATACGAAGGAGTAAACTTGAAACCCTCCAAAAATATAGCGCATGGTACCAAAGTGAAAAAGGAAATAATGGTTATAACAGAATAGAGATTGATATTGTCCAAAGCTTCCTGTCAAAAACATGGTTCGATCGATAAGTCATATTTTTAACAGAATATATTGCAACAGTTTCAATAAGTACTTCTGTTACCTCTTCATTAGCCATTAGTTTTTTGCTCATAACGTTCCGCGATTGATTCGTAAGGTTGGATGCCATTGCAGTGCTGAATCCAATCCTGTTTTGAGTTGAGACAGAACATGTCAAACTCTAGAAACAATCTTAACCTATGTAGTACGACAATTTACATTGAAGACATGTCTAGCGTCCAAAACCGATACATATGGTTACATTTAATTATTCTATTTCTAAAATTATTATCAGTGTACATGTGTTATGGTCATTTCTGCTGTCTTGTTTCATAGATCTTAACCTTCCGACAAATCATATCATATGAAAACAGGTTATAATTTATATGAAAATACCATAAGCGCTTAATTAAGCTGTTTATCTAAACATGATCTTATTCAATATTGTCTCTAAAGTTCCTCTTGCATGTAAAAGCTTTAGTTTGATCGATTACCAATTGAAAGAGACTTCAGTCATTGAAGCCAATGCCACTCCACCAACTATTGGTAAAAGAGAAGAAACCACCCAAAAAGTAGGCACCTGTTCATTTAAGAATCAAAACTTAATATCAGAATAACCAAAACTTTTTTATTCACTTTTCAGCCTATACAAATCGCAAAATTGCATGTTTTTAGTCCATGTAGTTTTGTAATTTGTCGAGGCTGAAGAGTGAAAACAGAGACTAGAACAAAAAGGCTATATTTTTTAGGAACTCAACAGTTTTATAAGAAACTGAAGACTTCAATTCGGCGTTACCTCACCGAGGAGAAGGGATGAAAGAACAACGGTGAAGAAAGGCTCCATAGCTTTGATGGTATGAGTGAATGAAACAGAAACCTTGCCAAGACTAATGTTGGTCAACATGTTTCCGAATGTATGAACCACAGCCAATGGAAGAATTGCTGCAAACTTTGAAACAAAAACAAACCAATCAATCAGTAAGCAAAGCAGTTTCAACAGCATTTTACCATAGTATAATCATTTGCAGCATAACTCCGACCGTGATCGCAGTTGAAAACCATGAATCGAAAATACCTGTGATCTCCTAATGTTTGGTCTTGGATGGAGATTCAAAATCCAGATCAAATTAATCACCAATGAAGCAAAACCAAAATGAAATGCTGTAACTGTTGCTGGAAATGGATAGACTTTTAGAACCTAATAATACACAACCAATGCATAGATGAACAAAACATGGTTATCAAATCAAGAATCAAAATACCTATTTTTCGAACCATGATTCAAATCTTATCATCAATTAACAATAAAATAGCAATATTAAGCAAAGATAAATCACATGCAAACCTCAAAATAGTTCACAATTCACACCATGAACCAAAATATAGTGTATCATAACTCAATATGAGATTCATGTCCAAAATATATACACATTAGGAACTCGCATCGATCGAGTTCAGTTTAGTATCGAATCAAGATAGAACTAACATGTAAGATAGTGATGAACATGACCCAGAATTCTTTTCATGTATTATGTATGTCTATGTTTGAAAATTTCAAAACTTTATCATTAAAAACACAAAAGTTCCTTTGATTTTTACCATCCCCCTTCCCACCCATTATCTAACTCATTGCTAATCAGTCCAATAACTGCATAAAAATGAAAACTTTAAACTCTAAACAAAGGATTGAAAGAGAAAAAAAAACCTGTTTGTTGTAAATGTTGAAGTAAATATTCAAGAGATACCAAGTAGCAAACATGAAAGCAAGTTGTAGAGACTGAAAAACACCAGAAGGTTGAGTTGGTTCATGACTTTGTCCCTCTGGTAGAGAAGCAGCAAGGATTCTAAAAGAATGGATTTTTGGAGTGGAAATGAGAAAAGGTGAAGACTTTCTAAGAGTTTGAAAGAAAGAAGAAGATGGGCATGAAAATTTATCAATGATGAGTCTAAGTGGTGAAGAAGAAAAATGGTGAGAATGAGAGAATTGAAAAGGGTGAAACTTGGGTATGGTTATGTGGTTTGGAATTTGTAGGGTTGAATGATAAGGTAACATAGAGAGAGTATGGATTTTTGGGTTTGAAGAGAGAAAGTAAGGAGACATAGTTGTTGTTTGCATGAATTTGTGACAGGAGAAAAAAAAGTGAAACAATAGACTCTACATTCTCATAGGTTACACTCAATATGGTAATAAATATTGTATTGAGTTTTTTTTGGAGTGAGTTACCAAACTTTAGAGTGGGAGAATTTTTGTTTTCAAATTTAGTTAAGAAAATGAATGTCTTCCTAATTTAGATTCTCTTTAGATTTTTTTTTTCAAATAATCATTTTTTTCAAATTTTTTTTCTAAATAATCACTTTTTCAATTTTTTCTTCTAAAATGATCATTTTTCAAATAAAAAAATTTCGCCACACAGAGGAGTAACCATTTTGTGTGGCGTATGCATTCATTTTTAAGAAAAGGCGCCACAGTGCATGACTTGTCTTCCTCTGTAAAGCCATGCAGTGTGGCGCATGCATGTATTTTTAGAGAGGATGCGCCACCCTCCTTAGCTTGACAATGTTTAAAACACATGCACGCGCCACACAGCATGACTTTACAAAGAAAGACAAGTCATACAGTGTGGCGCCTCCTCTTAAAAATGAATGTATGTGTCACACAGAGTGGCTACTACTCTGTATGACGAAATATTTTTGTTTAAAAAGTAGTCATTTTGATAAAAATTTTGAAAAAGTAATTATTTGAGAAAAAATTTTAAAAAAAAAATGATTATTTGAAAAAAAAATTCTTTTTTTTAGGGCTTAAAGAATTTTCTCCTCCAAAATTTTCAATTATTTAATTTTGACTCTTTAAGTTTCAATTACTCTCTTTTGCATTAGATAGTCCTCAGATGATAAGTAAACTAAGGGCTTGTTTGTTTCCCTTTAAAAAAACTGACTGTTTCTTTGTATTTTTTAAAATTTATGTTTTTTAAAATATTACAAGTTTTTTTTATATTTATTTTTTCTAAATTTAAACACTAATTTTGACATCATGTAACATAAATATATATTATTGAATATCAAAACATAATTAAAATTGGATTTTTTTCAAAAAGTTA